TATATATATATATATATATATATATATATATACATCCCAATATTCATCATTTGAATAATTGATAGTGTAAAAAATTCTCTACCTCAATGTATATAATTGGAAGATATTACTCCTAATTAATTGTTTCTAGTTTAGAGTTAGTACAAGAATAAATTAAAATAACTAAGAATAACAAAATAAAAAATTACAAAATTAATTGATGTAGCAAAGAAAACAGATAACAAGAATGCATTAGTAAATGAAGCCCAATATGGCTGATAGCCTGGCCGCTGTCGTAGTCGTGGTTGTGGTGGATAACCGGTGGTCATGGTGGTGGCGGATACCATGTGGTGGTGGACGACGTGGAGGATACCACCGGTACGGTTGCTGCCGCCGTGATTACTACGGTTGCTATAGATGTTGCTCCTACAAAGGTGAGGCAATGGGCAAAGAGCCACACAATAGATTAATTATGTGGAGCCATATATTAGAACTTTTGTAATGGCAATTATGTAATATATAGTAGTAACTCTTTTTTCTACTTTAGGGCTTGCCATAATAATAATTAGAAAGATATTTTAGTTTACTAAAATTAATGACTACATCACCATCTTATTTCCTAGTCACGAGTCTATTATCATTAAGGGAAAACTACCTAATTTAATTAGTAATTAGGTTAGGAGCTAATTATTTAGTTACATTCTATAGTTTGTAATATTATGTTATTTATCAGATTTTGATGTATTTATATACGTTCAGATGCATGTATCGTGAAATATATGTGTCAAAGTTAAGGCTAATTTATTCTAGATACTTTGTATTCTGGTGGATTCGTATGTATCTAAGATACACAGCAAATCTCACTCGTCTATCTCCCATCTCTCTCGTCACTCTCCTATGTAACTAGGATATCAGATACATGTATCTAGAGTGTATCTAATATGATTCACGTGTATACATGAGAAACAAATTTCAATCGTCTTCCTTCCCATATCGTTCACCTCCCTCCTTATGTTATTGAATCTGTACATGTATCTACGTAAAAAAATATTAATTAGTTATAAGCTTACGCAATTATTTTAAAAGTATAAATAATATTATACTAATTTATATAAAATAGCAAAATATGTCTAATTATGTAATTTTCCCTATTATTAACGAGCTCTAGTTGATTTTCTTTTTCTTAATTACAGTAATATATTTATGTTGCTTGAATTGTTGACTAGGTCACTGATCTAATTTCATAATCACGAGTCTATTATTATTAACGAATATCTAGATGGTATTTTTTTTCTTTTAACTACTAAAATATTTCAATTCGCTATTAATCTAATTTCCTAATCACGAGTCTATTATTTTTTATTAGAATCATCCAGAATATCTCCAACCAAACTCGTCTAAATATTTTAGAAAAACAGAAGAAAAAAAAAGTAATTACTATTAAATCAATATTCTATCTAAATATTTTTCAACCTAACTATTTTTATGATCCATTATATGCACTGAACCTATTGAATTGTATAACCTAACCTAGTGTCAGTGTTATTCAATGTCTTCTGAATATATTTTTTTTAAAAATGCATCTTAATTTTTTTAAAATAAAAATATTATCACTAGTAGTGTTAAAATGTGTGAATATTTCGTTTATAAATAGTAATCGTAACAAGGTATGTTTTTATTTAGTTAATTACATTATCAATGAGCTAATCTCTCACGTAAATATAATTAACTAAATAAAAATATTACTAGTATTGAATTTTATCTTATATGCTCAGATAAAATATTAATTGTACGACAAATTAAAACTTAAGTTATTAGAAATATGCCATTTTTTATTCTCTTAATTGTATTATTAAACGCATAATACCCCTTTGTATATATATTGCTGTGCTCATTTCCAAGAGTAACACTCCCAAAAGATTATTTTTTTTCATTTATACAGAATTAAAATCGAAATTTTCAATTAAAAATAAATAAATCAATCATCCTATATAATCCACCTCGATACATGTAACAACTTTCATATTACTATTCAATAACCAAATTACCCATTTAAGTGAACGATTTATGTACTAGTGCAGTAGTGTGTTAACTTAAACGTAGAATAAATATCATTGCAATTAGTAAAATAATTCAAATCATAAATTAATAACATTGGGAGTTCAAACTCTTTTATGAGAGGTTTTGACCAAAATAAGTCATTATATAAAGCAATTTATCAAAATAATGTGTTTTTTAAATATTTTACAAAACTAGTATAAACGTATTTCCCAGTAACATTTTAGGGTATATTTCATTTTTAAAAAGATGAAGGCGACGTTTTACTCCTAAAACGTTATTCACAGTAACGTTTTACTCCTAAAACGTTATTCAGAGTAACGTTTTAGTAGTAAAACATTACTTATAGTAACGTATATCGACCTAACACCGTCAAATTTTTAAAAAATGAAATATACCATAAAACGTTACTGTGAAATACGTTTATATTAGTTTTGTAAAAAAATTTTAAAACGTATTATTTTGTTAAATTACATTATATAATGACTTAATTTGATAAAAAAATTCTTTTATCACGTTTCTTTTGTAAAATAAATAATAATATTTTTTTCCTTGGAAGCTTGGGCAGTAGTAGTAATAATGAAAGGTGGTTGGCTAACAGGTTTAATTAAAATGACTTTTTAACTCAACTATAGTACTTAATAAAGTTTGTATTTAATTTATAATAATTTTAATTCGTAGGCCAGCAGTTGTACTAGGCTCTTTCATCTCGACGAAAACTATATATGGCTCTTTCATCTCGACGAAAACTAATATATATATATATATATATACCAATGAAGTGGATGAATTAAAATTTAAAAGTTTTAAGAAATTTTATATTTTTCTAAGTAATTAATGTAGGATATTATATGTTGAAAATTATTCTTTCTTAATTTATCAAAATGAATAAGCAATTAGAGACAGAGAGAGTACCGTTTTACTAAAAGAAATATATTTCATCCCTCTAATTCTCTCTGCTTCACTACAGTAAAAATAATTTTTAATGGTATTAAATATTGACATTAATAAAGAGTGTTAAAGTTTTTACCGACACTAGTTAAGTGCCATTAGAATCAATGTCAGCTAAAAGTTTTAGAGACATATACAAAGAGTATCAATTGCCGCTAAAAATACATATTTAGCGATAATTAATTCTGAATTAATTATCGCTAATAATTATTTTTGTTATAGTACTTCTAGCTACAGGAGTCAAAGATTTTTAGTTTATATATTGTGAATTTTAATTTTTTTCAAATATTGGTTTCTAGATAAAATTATTTATTCATATTAAACGAAATTTTTAGTATAAAGATAAGACTAAATCAAAATTACTGAAAATTCTATCAAATTCGTAGGTATTAATATTATTATGACTTCACTTAGTTATCTGACATGAAACTTAAAAGATTCTCTTAAAAGGGATTAAATGTACTTATCAAAAATTTAGAATTCAATTATTAACATCACGTATATCATTATTTTAAATTTAAAACTCATAAATTTCAAATAAGTTTTTGCCTCGGATGCATATTGAAATATATATTGTAAATGCACCCTCCTCACGTGACCTCTAAAAAATTGTAAGATTATTTAGAAATTATTATTTTAACATAAAAATGTTTGGTGGCTATTTTTATAAATATTTTGATGGTGAAAAAAAGGAAAAATAAATACGATTTATGTCTACTTTTAATTGTTATAGTTTCTCTTTTTAGAGTTTTTGAATGCCTAAATTTTTTTGTTTCAAATATTGAATTAATATAATTTAATTTAAATTTGAAAATTAGTCAAAATTGACTTTTGCAAAACGTAACATAAGATAAAAGTTGACAGAAGAAAATACTGTTTTTATATTTAAAAAAATTAGAAGGTTTTTCCCTTTTTCTTGTGAGTTGATTTGGTAGAAAATAAGTGAAAACATTATATTCTATATATCATCAATTTTCCACTTGTTTGCTATGGAAATAACCTTTATCTCTAGCTAGTAATAATTAAACTCAATTGTTAAATTCAACATCTTTTACTTACCAACCAAATACACCATAAATGTCCTTCACTTCAATCTAAAAAATGCATTGAAATCTTACTATAAATATAGCCAAATGATGCCTCACTTTCTTCATCCTTCTATAAATTACAAACTACAAAAAAAAAAAAGAATGGATTCCAAAGCATTTCTATTTTTTGGTCTTTTTTTGGCTATTTTCCTAATGATAAGCTCTGAGATTTTAGCTACTGAGTTGGCTGAGAACTGTAAGATTATTATTTTCTCATTTTAATTCTTTTATCACTTTCAAATATTGAATATCTCACCTATTTTTTTTTCTAGTAGTAACATTTTTGGTCCACTAAAACAAGTACCTTAATTAAGTACTTCTTTTGAATCGAGGTCTATCAGAAACTATACATTTTACATTCTACATTTCAGACCCTTAATTTTGTGACGAGCTTTTCCTCACCCGATAAAACTCAAAAAACTTAGTTTTATAGTTGTCATAAAAATTCACATGTAACTATACTTGTAAGATAACACTGAGTATGTTATTGTTACGGTAAAAACAATTACCATAAGTTCCATGTGTGTATGCACTAATGCTAGACTTTTACCAAGATTTTCATATCATGTGCCCTAAAATTACAAGTAATTGTATCATGAAAAACACTACATAAGTAAATGATCATACATCATCCATATATGTTAGTGTATAAATAATTTATCCAGAACGAACTAAGCAAGTTGTTTTTTCTTAAAAACAAATTCATAATTCATAAATTTAAAATTCTGAGTCTATATCTTATTTTCAACATTACATATATTTGAGATTTGATGTAGCTAAGAAATCTGAAAACAAGAATGAAGTACATGAAGCCCAATACGGTGGATATCCTGGTGGTGGTGGTGGATATGGACGCGGTGGTGGTGGTGGATATGGACGCGGTGGTGGTGGAGGATATGGACGTGGTGGTGGATACGGACATGGTGGTGGTGGTGGATATGGACATGGTGGTGGTGGTGGATATGGACACGGTGGTGGTGGATACGGACACCGTGGTGGCGGTGGTGGTGGACGACGTGGTGGATACTGCCAGTATGGTTGCTGTGGCCATGGTGACAATGGTTGCTATAGGTGTTGCTCCTATAAAGGTGAGGCAATGGACAAAGTTACTCAAGCTAAGCCACACAATTAATTAATTATGTGTGGAGTACGTAGTATATTATATTAAAACTTTTGTAATGGCAATTATGTAATATTATTAGCAATGCTCTTTCTACTTTAGAGCTTGCTATAATATTACTAAAAATGTATTGAATAAAAGCCATGTTGTAGTAATTTTATTATCAATATTTTATCATGATATTCATATTTACTGTATTTCACTAATTAATACCAAAAAGTTTTAGTGCTTTTTAATTGACTTGACCACTAGTCTAATTGGTTGTTAAAATTTAGCTCTTGTAGTCTTATTTTCTTTATATTAAATTAATTAAGTGGGATCTTTTAACAAGTTCAACGAAAAGGCAAAATTTTAATATGAAGTCTTTGGTTGTTAAATTTAGCATATGATCCCTCTCGTTTACCTGATAAATGAATCCGAATTCGAAATATATGATTAAGGACGGAAAATTCTAACAGTCGATAGCGATGCATATAAACAGATACTTATAGCTTATGATTTAAGAGTACATTGAGATTCAATAGTTTTGGCTTGAAATCTTGAAATATGTGTATGCGTTAAAAGATTATTTTCTCCGTCTAAATTTTTATGACGAAGTTTAATACTTGACACAGAGAAAAAAAAATTGAAACTTGTGGCTAAAACAAAGACTTACACTTTTGTGTAGTTATAAATTATTTATTTGAGGATAAAAAATAAATCATAAAGTTAAATGACACATAAATTGGAACAAATAGAGTATACATATGTACAAATAATCATTTACATATAGTAAATCAAATAAAAAGCGATAGAATCTTGAACTAGAATCACAAAGTTCAATGGTTACTAAAACAAAGAAAACAAAAGGTAATAATAGAGTCACAAATACTCTCTCAGTCCGGTATTGTTTGTCATAATTTCTATTTTTAGAGTCAAACTATAAAAACTTTGATTAACATTTTAAGATATATTTTTTCATCATATTAATATGCAAAAAATTGTAATTTATAGTACTTTTCATATAGTTTTAGAATATCTAATTTTTTTGTTTAAAATATCGAACTAATATGATTTAATTTACCTTTAAAAATTAGTCAAATTGACTTTAGATAAGCGCAACATGACAAACAATTTTGGACAGAGGGAGTTTAAGAGAATAGGAAATTAATCATAATAAAAATACTAAAAACTAGACGACATTATTGCTAACTTTCTATCCTAATCTTCGATCCCTCCTATTTATAATACTATAGGTTGATACGTATCCTCCGTAAATTACGTTTAGTTAAAGCAAGTCTTTATGATGCATATAATTAACTAATATAATATTTTATATTTCTATCTTTTTGGCCCCAAAAGAAAAAAATTCTTTATGAAATCTTTTTATTTTTCTTGATGAATTCAAAGTAAGTCCTCAGTATTTTCCTCTATTTTTCTGATTGTTGCATGCAAGTATTATTGAGTTCTATAAATAGGGAAGAAATGCATGTCTTTACTCATCAGAAAAAAAAAACTTGAAATAGTTTAATTTGCTAATCAAAATGGTTTCTAAAAATAATATTTTTGTTTATATTTCTTTGGTTATTCTACTAATAATATCCTCACAAATTGTTGCAAGAGAGATGAATTCTGAGGCCCCTGCTCCACTTACCCAAGGTTAATTTACTGTCTCCATCAGTTTATTATGATAAAAAAAAATATTTTTATTTGGTTTTTTTTGTTATATATAAATGATCGAGTTCTCTTGATATCATGGAGACATCGTAGGAAAGGACGTTAAAAAATTGTTGTGTTACATGTATAAATACTACTCCCTTCGCCCACTTTTATTTGTCATAGTTTTCTTTTATAGAGTCAAACGATAAAAAATTTAACTAACATTTTATAATGTATTTTTTCATCATATCGATATGCAAAAAATTGCAATTTATAGTACTCTTTAATTAACTTTAAATAAATTAATTTTCGAAAAGTGTAACATGACAAATAAAAATGGACAGCAGCAGAATGCATGTGATACTATTTTTGTATCCCTTTATATTATATAAATTTCTAATTCAACAACTGACTAATATGAAGCTCTACATACACTTTTTGATGCAGCAATGAATGGAAATACCACTAATGAGGCAAAGGGAGTGTTTTTTCATGGGCACCATTTACTGAGGAATCTTGGTAGGATTTTCAGAATTGGCCAAGTTATATATTGTAACTATTGCTCAACTTGCAATGGCCTTTGTGGCTATTGTTGTGTCTAAAGCTAACATCAGAAATCCGCAACCTCCTCTTTAATCACGCGCTTTACAAAAATACATCTTTTTAAGTTTATATATAATTAAGACTTATGTAACTGTATTGGTGTGACAAATAAAGGAAAGTTATGAATAGAGTCCCTATTCACTTTCATCTAGTAAAATTACTTGTGTTTTGTTTTGTTTTTGTCTTGTCTTTATAATTGTTGCAACTTGCAACAAGTCATGTTTATGTACTTTTAATTGGTTTAATGATCAAATAGTGTTTATGTAACAAATTGTCTATTCATGTTTAAAATTTTAATTATCTTTATTACTATTCGACCTATATATACAGTATAATTTCCAAACGAAAGGTGCTTAACTGACCTCTCTCGAGCCTATAAGAGAAAAGTATAACCAATTTTACAAGGTTCACAAATGAGACAACAAAATTTTCAAACCAGGATAAGGCATCCAAGAAAATTGTGTATCATTGAGGAATAGAATTATGGTAAAAATGAAAATCGCCACAAAAACTGTAACTTGTTGCCACTAAAAGACTGTATTAGTGGCAACCTTTGTTGCTACAAAAGTATAATTTATCGCCTCTAAAAGACTGTATGCAAAAAGTGTAATTGGTCGCTACGATAAAATTGTGTTAGTAGCAACTTGTGTTGCCACAAAAAGTGTAACTTGTTCCCACTAAAAAACTGTATTGGTCGCCACAAGAAGTAGAATTTGTCACCACCCAAAAATGTATTTGTCGCCCAAAACATCAATTTATTAGTCCCAATTTTTTCCTCTCTAATTTTGTGGAAATTGGCTTAAAGACTTACAAGTCATCGTCCGCTAGTTCTTTTTTTTCCTTAGGTGGAATGGAATATTGATAGATTTTTCCAATGTGAAAACTATTGTGTACCTAATAAGTTTAAAAATATCATGCGACACAACTTATCACTAATTCATAATATTGACCTTTTATGATTGTATAAATTTTATAGAAAAAATTATTGCATTCTTACGATTTGTTTCTCTATTCCCAACCTACGGTAACTTTTCTCCTTATTAGTTCAATGACGCGTTTTAACCTTTATAATTACATAGATTTCATGGGAAAATTGCACGAATATTTATTGCATTCAAACAACTTGATTAAAAATTCTCTCTTTGAAAAGTATCGTGAAAATAGAAGAAGAGAGATGTTTGATGGAAAGTTGGACAAGGTACAATTGTGTTTCAACTGCTTTCCCAAAAATAAAGTGTAATGGCCTGATCTCGCCGTTAGGAAAAAGTCAATGGGAAAAGAATTGGATTAGAATTTTTTTTTATAATAACTTGGAAACTACTAACCTAGTAGTTCTAGAAATAGGGAAGAAATGCAAGTCTTTTCTCATCAGCAAAAAAAAAAAAATTATAAAAAAATCCAAATAGTTTAATTTGTTAATCAAAATGGTTTCTAGAAATAATATTTTTGTTTATCTTTCTTTGTTTATTCTACTTATAATATCCTCACAAATAGTTGCTAGGGAGATGAATTCTGAGGCCTCTGCTCCACTTACCCAAGGTTAATTTATTGTCTCCATCTATTTATTATGATTAAAAAAATGTTTTTTTTTCGTTGTATATAAATGATCGAGTTCTATTAACATCATGGAGACATCGTAGTAAAGGACATTCAAAAATTGTTATGTTGCATGTACAAATACTATACGGGATGCATGTTATACTATTTTTTATATTTTGTACCCATTGTATGAATTTCTGATTCCACAACTGACTAATATGAAGCTCTACATACACTTTTTGATGCAGCAATGAATGGAAATACCACTAATGAGGCAAAGCTTCGCGGGCACCATTTACTAAGGAATCTTGGTAGGATTTCCAAAATTGGCAAAGTTATATTTTGTAACAAGTGCTCAACTTGCAACAACCTTTGTGGCTATTGTTGTGTCTAAAGCTAAGATCAGAAATCCGCAACCTCCTCTTTAATCACGCGCTTTACAAAAATACATCTTTTAAGTTTATATAATTAAGACTTATGTAACTGTATTGGTGTGACAAATAAAGGAAAGTTATGAATAGAGTCCCTATTCACTTTCATCTAGTAAAATTACTTGTGTTTTGTTTTGTTTTGTTTGTGTCTTGTCTTTATAATAGTTGCAACTTGCAATAAGTCATGTGTATGTACTTATAAGTTATAATTGGTTTGATGATCAAATAGTGTTTTATGTACCAAGTTGGCTATTCATGTTGGGCTTGGTTTAAAATTTGAATCATCTTAATTACCTTCACTACAACATAAAGAAAGGTACTATTAGACCTATATATATATATACGGTATAATTTTCAAACGAAAGGTGCTCAACTAACCTCTCTCGAGCCTATGGGAGAAAAGTACAACCAATTTACAAGGCTTACAAATGACTCAACAAAATTTTCAAACCAGAATGAGGCTGCCAAGGAGCATCAAAGAAAATTGTGCATCATTGAGGAATAGAACTATGCAGCTGCTTCTGGTAAAAATGAGGTGCAGCCTCCGTTAGCCAAGAAGGATCGATAGTGATGACATTTCGCATGTACTGACGATCTGTTGAAACGAGAGAATGGTACACGATGAACTTCGGGTTGACCCTGTTAAATATGAGAACCACATTATATAAACTAGACATGTAAGTGATGTAAAAAAGGGAAATGTGTAAAAAATGGATGCTACAAAACCACACATCTTTCATGCACACATATAGGAGGAAAGATGGCAACGAGAAAGTTCCTGACCACGCCATGCTACAATAGGATGCAAGAAAAGGGAATGTCACCGTTTCCTAATTATGGATTTGATTCGAGAATGATAGATCTTCCTAGTTCTTAGGGTGTTGGTTAAGTGGTAAGGACAGTACGTGATGTGTGAGTCAGGTGCACGTCATCCATACTCCATGGAGTTCTAAACCTGTGCCTCAACTGAAGTTGGGCCAGATGCCCACATGGGATTTCTCCAACTTGAGAACTTGAGCAACAGAAATGACTAGTATTCTTAATAACTTAGATAGTGGGACTATACAAACCAGTTGTAGAAATATTCATACCTTTAAAATGGCAATAAATCACACAGATGAAAGTAATTTCCTCATCTTATGACTACTTAGGGAAAGTAATTCATACGTCTCCGTAATATCAGCAAACCAATCAAGCTATCATAGTTTGAGAGAGACATTAATAGATAAATACCTGAACAACACAGATGAAGGATGAATATACACTTCTTGAGAAGTTCTGAGAGTCTTGTACATCCCATTGTGACTGAATGGCTGTTTCAAATATCAGCAACAGAAGTTATCAAATATGCTCATATCAGAAAAATGAAGCAGAAACGGAAAGAGTGTGTTTTAAGACAAAAATAGCTACGTGTACCAAACTTCATACTCACTTCTAAGCGGGCAGCATTGGCAAAAAAACCTGCTGTAATTGCCTTCTTTACTGCCTGTGAAATGACTAAATTTAGTTACGCCTATTACATCATAAAAGAAAGAATTGCCCAAAAAAGATTTACAAAATATGCTGCTACTGAGAAAGTGACCAAGCTGCAATCTCTAGACTGCGAATAATTCTAATTGAAGCCCTTAGCGGCAGTTGCAGCACTAATTTGACGGCTTTTCGTGGCAGAAAAGAATGACTCATGCAACAATATTAACTCAATGACAAGCGAGCAATCAGTTTTAAAACATGGGCAACTGCTCCACGGTCTGTTGAATGCTATTGACATTAACAACTGAGTCAGCAAATAAAGTTACCTGAATATCCCCTTCACAAGATTTCAATCCTATGCCCAACCTCTGTGTAATCCTTTTCAGCTGTTCCCTAACTTCAATTACTTTTCTCTACATAATGGGGAAAAAAATCAAGGATGCCCTAAGGGCACGTTCATGAAACACTGCAAAATGTAAAAAGTAGAACATCGTGGAAGTTGGATTAGGACTTACCATGGCATGATAATTTATAAAATTCTTGTGACACCACTTCGAAGATTTATTAGACTGAATGAATCCTTTATACACATTTAAGAATGTGACATGGTCACCCTGCAAAGGTATATCGAAGTTACACATGAATTTACTTGAAGAAGGCTAAACAAGTAAATAACTAGAAATAAATAGGCAGCAATCTGAATTCCAATTAGTGACTGTATTGTCTCTACACAAACTTTCTAATTGTATGTGCTATTTTATTGGACTTCATCGAACACTTCTGCTTATGCAATGAATCAAGTTAATGGACAATTAAAAAAAGGGAAGTGCAAGATCCTAAGAAATACTCCATTTCCCTCAACTTTCTTTACCTACTCTCTGTTAGTCCAACCCATTAATGTGATCCTTCTCTAAATAGAAATATTTGCCACCTCCAGAAGTTTGAACTTAGTCGTAGCCTTGGGATCTTTCATACAATTGAACTATCCTTTAAATAAATCTGTACTCACTCCAATAAGTAACTCAGTACTAGAGTAAACATTTGTTAATCTACAAAATAGTCAGTCGGATGAATCAAATGACAATGGACACAAATTATATAGATTACTTTGCATAAATCTCAGGGAAGAACAAAAATTATATTTATTACAACAAGAGGAAAATACAAACTAAAGGTGATAGTGAAGCAGGAGAAAGGTGGATAAGAAAATTATTAACATCTTCTGTACAGTGTAATTTATTTGAGCTCTAAATTTTACCATTATCTATTATGAGACCCATATGCAAGTTGTCAAATGTGTTCTTCATTGTGTACTTTAAGTATAATGCAACTAAGTTATAACAGAGGTGAAATTAATAAGCGAAACAGAAGAAACCAAAAACCTCGGCAGCTGCAAATCTCAATTTAGCTTCATCCAACTGCTTCTGTACTCCTCTAACAGGAATCCAAATAGACTGCAAAATAAACAATATATTGGTCTGACAAAATATAGAGGTCTTGTTTTAATGTTAAATCAATTAGGGTTTGGAAGGCGAGGATTTACCTGTATGGAGAGTACAGCAGCAATGGTAATTATTTCCTCCGAACATCCAAACTCACAAGAAGCTAAGATCATTTTGGATATTAATGGGTCCTACATAAAAATACAAGTTTCAGAAACTGCGTGAATAAGAAAATTCCTAGATCCATGAATTGAGAGACACATTGCATTATTGTAATGCACCGAGAGACATTCA